CAGAGCCTTCGAATCGAAACTCACTGTTTTTTAAGGTACCAATGACAAAGATCTTGCTGACTGATAGATGGTTTAAATCTTGCATGTCAAATATTTATAGCTTTAGACAGTATGCCGAATTCCTGGAACCGAGATATATGGGTCTGTATAAGTGTTCATCAGTGGTCATCGCTGGCCGACTTCTATATCTGTTACGAAACATTACACAGGAACATAAGCGAATGAAGTGCACATGAGCTCATGAATCTGAACATCAATAGTTTAACATGAGACAATCATAATTTTTCCCCTTTTCTGGATATTTATTATCGAACTATTAGCCGAAATTATCTCAGCGGACATAAAGATCTGGGGTTCCATAAGAAACGAAGACGATTCTTTGAAACTCAAAAAATATCTTACAATAACTGGGGTTATGGCTCAGATTATGAGTTAAGACTTAAACAGTCACCTTATGAACACTTTGAACGATTCCACACCAAAAGACACGTCTTCCATGGAAGTCTCTCTCCTCACAGCCTCTCAGAGATTGATTTTGATCTACCTAGCACAAAGATTTTGAATACAAGCTCAAACTTCAAATGTAAGACGAATACAAATCTTGACTCTTTGTGACAATGAATTGATCTAATCGTTCCGGGATCGTTTTACCACTTTTTAAAGCATACGAACAACCCCACGTAAAAGTCGTAACACCTATTCTCCTCAGAAAACATAAATCTCTTAGACTGAGTGAAGTGACGAGCAACCTAATGGGTAATGGTGTGAAGAGTAACTTTGAGAGTAAAATCATAAACACTTGAGGATATTCTTGCACAGTTAAAGGATAATAAGAGGTGATTTAACGATAGCTTCCACATATAAGGTACACAAACACCTAAACACGAACACCATAATCATCAAGGAAGATCCTCCATCAGAAATCGAAAATGCGGACAATCCACTACTTTTTACCATAAATAGTTTATCCTGATTGAAATGTTCTTTCATCTGAAATGATCACACCACCCTCTGCAAATAACTTCTAGATGAAACTTGTAAAAAATTTACTCACATAAAAGCTACCGTTTCAGTTTGAACCCTCTGTGTCTCATATTTGTCTGGTAACTTGTCTGTTATTATTGCCACATATAGGTAACTTAACCCTGTCTTGTTGATTATAATGCCGTCACCTCTTTCACTTTTGCAAAGAGATGTTTTCACACTCTCCACACTGCATATTGTCTTATTTATTTATTCAGCTCTTGAAACAAATCTTTTCTCCAAGCAACAGAGTTTTTCTTAAACACATAAACCTCCGGGCTGACAAATTGTTAGCTTCTTCTGTCCAGAAACCATAATATTCGGCAATTGCTCGTATCAGAGGACAAATGGATCCATAAATAAATATCAACTGACCAGAATTAGTGCAGCTGATTGAGTGGAATACCACCCACTGGATATTGTGAATAAATCAAATGTTTGAACTAAACTCGTGGAAAAGATATAAGATACACTGTAAACTGAAGTCGAAGTGATATTCACATGAATGCACGGCAAGAGTTAAGTTAATTTATGAACAAGTATGCATCTTTCTTTTTTTTGGTTTTCTTATCGATGGAATACTTGATCATATAATCAGAAGGCGCCGTTATTCGTGTCCGTACCCTTTTTAAGTCACAATTGTGCTATTTTAAGGTTATCAGTCATGTCATAGCTAAAAACGTTTCTTGTGCCTTTAAGTATTTAAGTTCATCTGTACTCTTTTGTTATTGCCAATCGTTATAGTACTTTGAGTGATAAATTTTTTAGAACTTTCTGTGTTCAAATTAAAGGTCTAGTTACTTATAAACAATGGTGAAGCCAATCAAATTTAAGCTCAATTTGTCTTGTAGAGCGACTAAATTTGTGTGTTCACTGGGTGATAAACATCTGATGATTATTGTTGGAACTTTACGGAAAGAACTACGAAAGCTGAGTTGTCTTATTTCTTCATTGTCAGTGTTTTTGTTGTGAAAGTATATACCTCCAGCCAAGTACTTGCTCGTATTTGTCTTTAAATAACACCAACATGTTTCTGTCTCCTCGGCTAATTCTTCATGGTATGGTACTTTGTCTCTGAAATGAGTGTTAATTCAAATCTCTGCCCTATCTCTTGATTTTTCACACTTAGTATCAGAAAGTGATTTAGCCTTACAGGCTCACTTCGTCTTTCATTGTGAAAAGACAGGCTTACGATAAATATTTATCTTTCTAGCCCTTCGTTCTCAAAATCTGGTTCACCGTGTCTCGTGCGACAAAGTTTTCAAGCTCCTTGTTTTCTCTTGGAAGAGAATGAACCTCTATTGAAAATTAAGTCCGTTTTTGCAGCATTTTAACCTTAAACATTTAGAAGTAATCAAGCCATTTATCTACATAGTTGCCTAAAAATTATCCATACAACTTTCACCGAATACCCACAGATAGTATAAATATTTCAGACTACTGAGACAGTTAAAACTATCTCCTGAAAGTCCAATGCTACGACCTGGTGCTGCTGTCGGTTGTTTCACTCTATCACCTATACAACCTCTCAGGGACGCACTGACGTATCAATATAAGGAACCTTGGTGCCATAAAATGGTCAAAAATTTTCTCAGTAAGAGGTATACCCATCCTGAATGCTTTCCCTATCTGGATGGCAAAAGCCTAATACATAAGAGACTTGGCAACTTTGTATTTACCAGTATCATTCGCACAATAATTGAGTACATTTAAACGTTTATTTGTTTATTTGTCCAGGCGATTGTCTTCTATTTGTACTAAATTCTAATTTTACGTTCATTTTTTCACACCTCAACCGATCAATCAACCACCTAAGTGGTAATGTGATGATCGTACAGCAGCTCACATTTGAGTTTCGTTACATTTAATTTGGTTGAGCCCTTTTGTTAACTCATTTAACAGACAGTGTCATTTGAATAGCTACAACTTATCGGTTATTATTGTGCTTGTATGAGTACCTAGGCTTCAGAATTGCCTACCGCTTATACACATTCATTCTGCCCTCTTTAATATTAGCCGCTTTAATAGTCCGATGAATCATTCATTTCCCGATCTATATATGTGTACATTTTTAATTCTACTCGCTCACTCGCACATCGATTTCGCTTCTTATCCCGGTGGTTTTGTGATCTGTGTGCGTTACCATAAAAAACGTAGTCAAAGCTTCATATTTATCTTCGGATTTTTACAATGTTGGGCGGCATCTAGTAACCGTTACCGGGACAAGCACTATATGAAGTTTAGAAATACAAATGGAATACTGAACCCCTCACAATTGGTGACCCCACATCCAACACAACTGCAGGTACCAGAAACAATACTGACTCAGCAAAGAGCGGCTGACACACCAAGATACATAAACTCGAAAATAAATACTAAGCTTACCAGAAAACGTGGAGTCGAGTGCCCAGATAATCTACTACTGAATACGAATACAGACATTTGTTCGTACCGAAATAACCAACAGAAAAGAAATCAGTGTGCGACAAAACAAATTAACTGTTTCTAGTACCGATTTCTAGAGTGTTTTGGTGTTGGAATATCCGAATTACTCCTGACCTAGTGCTGAGAAAACCAAAATCCTTGCCGCCAGATAAGTCACTAGGGCGTGACAACATTCGCTCTACTGTGTTGAAACAGTATTCAAAGCCCTCAAATGACCAGTATATCACCTGTTCATGCATACACTAGAGTCACACCAACTCTCTTTCTCCAAGACTCAAAAGACTAGACAGGATGAATCTAGACTGTTACAGACTAATCGCATCACAACCAATGCTATCAAATGTAACAGAAAGGCTGGTGAACGGACAAATGTGTAAGCACATGGATAAGAAAAATATCTTCCATGAAGCCCAACTGGAATGGCAGGTAATGTGCACTCAATCATCTCATAGCATGGGACAGTTGGACAACCTGCAAAGACCGGAAAGCACCCGTTCACATAATACAAATTGACTTCACGAAGTCTACGAAACCAACCCGATTACTCCTTATTGCAAAGGTTGAGGAAATGGACTTCACTCACCCACTTCCACATTGGAAAAGAACTACCTTGACAACAGAAAATTTCATACCAGCGAAAACAGAGTGCACGTCAGATGGTGAGTTTCAGCATCAGTGGTTTAACAGGACTCCATCTTAGGTCCACTTCTCTCACTGATATTTATTAATGATCTTTAGACGAAGTTAGCTCAGCGGCATTGATCTACGCATATGACGTGAAGATCTGGAGTTCAATTAGAAGCGAAAAGGATCCGGCTGAGCTCCAAGTGAGGAATGGGTAGCAGATAACGGGTTAAAAATAGTTCACTTGAAATGTCACATTATGAATATTCTGCCTCACATGACGCGAACAAGTGACAACGTCAATGGAAGTCCTCTCTCTAATGTCTCCTCAGAGCGAGATCTCATTCTCATAACCACGGAAAGCCTAAAAACCAGTTCAAACTGCTGACAGGACGCCACCCAGTCTAATGCAACCTTTCAATTTATGAGAAGACAACTTGATGCGATCACCCCAGAATTCCTGATAACGTTGTATTAGACACAAGCGATCTTACACCTTGAGGTTCAAAACGTCGTCAATAACAATCAATTAACATGATTATCCTTTTATTTACTTATTTCTGAAATCTTCTTATTAGCATTAAACGTTACTCCTTATTATTCTGCACATTTCAAATAACTGACCTCCGGCCTGGAAAGCTGCTGGTATCCGGAAATCCTACTGCCATAAAATAAAATTATTCATTCAAATTACGGGATATACAAACTCATAAATAACTGCCAAGTGAATAGAGTTGGTGCAGTCTAGTGGTTTGACCATTATCCATTGAACACTATCAAACAGCTGAAACCGTACTGAAATAACAAGAATCGAGCGAAAAGAAATCAATCCGTTTCTACTAGCCCGTGAAAAAGATATTGGATCCGGTTTATACGAGCTCACGAAAAAGTATTGGATATTGGACGTTTGTTTGTACTTTCCATGTCATGACAACCAAACATAAACATTTTCGACTACCACATGTTATTTTGTGTGTTAACCGTCTTGATTCTTGTTAGACAACCTCTGTCTTACTCAATTAATCTGATTTCGCAACAGAACTGTTCATCTGGGTCCACAACTTCGAATGCTGAATATTTCAACTCCGCGAATCTTTTGTGTAAAAAATGCTCACAGAATTTAACTTATCAAAGACAGTCAGCAGATGGTATAAATATCTGTAAATTTATTTTAAGGATTTTCATGTGTGTGTCAACCTGGGTATAAAACAATAAAAAATTTTGGTGGTAATAACGTGGAATGTACTAAATGTGGAGAGGGAGAGGTAAGTTACCCTTGTTACCAACTGATTCTCAAGACGGTTAGCGAGGACGGCTTATTCTGCATACCGTGCAGAGCTGGCTCATATTTGACAGCTACAAAAAGTTGCGGTTCTTGTCCTTCAGACTCTGTTTCAGGTAACTGCACACATCATTGTCAGATTCTTGCTTTCAGTTTATCTTGACCAATCGGGATCACCACTCGCTAGTCAGACATGCTTAAAGTGTTCAAACAATACGATACCAGATAATTCATCGTGAGTTTATGAACCAGTAATTCTATAAGGTCTTAGCTGCGTTACATGTCGAACAACTATCAAAATGTTACGTGCTTCTTCATTGTCTGAATCGTGCACATGTCCGAATTCTCACGTGAGTCTAATACAGTTTCTTAGCTTCAAGCCCTTCTAGATTTATGTGCTTTTTAATATTCTTTGATACAGAAGTTTAAAAAGTTAGCTAAAAACATTGATAAGTATACTATATGTGTGTTACTGTTCATAATTGTGAAGAGACTTTCCTTTTCCAGTGTTTGATCATCATTTTTGTTTACCTCAGTTTCGTTAACCTTCTTCCGCTCTTTGTTACATCTGGGAACGCGTTGTATTCTCGACTTTATTAACAATTATTATAACCCTTAAAATCTACGTTCTGTATCAACAAATAAGCTAATAATTAGTTAATAGTTCATTTGGATTAAGGCAAAGTGTCAGTCATGATTTTTTCCTAACCAATGACTCATTCATTTTTCGCACTTTTAATCCTTTATTTACATGGATAAGTTAAATTATGGATGTAGCTGAGTGACTGTAAAAAGACAATAGGCATTGGACAATGTATTTGCCTTTACTTGTGCATGAACTTTGAATCTGGAGGCTGTTTTTGTTTCTGTATATTGCAGGACTGGTTCATGTACACCACCAAACTTTATACATCTAGTTTATTAAAACGTGCTCACCATTCCATCCACTCAGATAGTTCAATTACAGAACCATTCATTGTAGTAGTTTGTTAAAATTCAAAAATCAGCTAATTCAATTACCATGTTCGCTTTAGTGAATTCTAATATCTAGTATCTTTTTCATGAGCTAGTATTAACCAACTGATTTCCCTGAGCTCGGTTCTAGTTGTCTCATAACGGCTCCAGGTGGCCATAGTGTCCAGTAGGTTTTTAGTCTAGCCGCTTGACTGAACTAATTCTAATCAGTTGATAGTTTGTTATTAGCTTAAGTGCGTTTATTTCAGGGAGGTAGGGTTTCTGAATACTAGCATCTATTACATTTGCAGGACGGAGACCAGGTAGATGCAATGCGGAAAACAAAATTAGTTATCAAGATTTAAAGCTGACTGCTAAATATCGTCGCACAGTTTGTACAACCTAGTTATAGATTGTTTATGTGCAACAATAAACCGATGAGTTCAATAAGATCCAATGTGAACCTTATTAACATGAATATCATAATTTTCACTTGGTTTTAATGCTTTTATATTAAGCTTTAGTATTCATCTATTATTTCTATTACAACTATGCTAATATAGTATTATATTAACCTAAGCCGAGCTCTAATTGTTATAGAGAGTGCATTAATTATCAACAGTAAATGACCGATCTTTTAATATATATGTGAACGGAAAGAATTGAGTCTTGAAGACAATAGTCAATTTATGTTTCTATAATTAAAGAATATATAGTCTTACCTTGAAATCATAAATGGATCATTGTTAGACCACTATAATCAATCCCATACCAGGACAAAACGGCCGTCCAATACTTACAGTTTTGCTAATAGTCTTCTAACAATAATTCATTCATGATTTTAAATTGAAACTACGATTTCCATAATACTATAATACAAAATATATAATTTAACAGGTATGGAAAGTGTAAATGAACACAGAGTTTTTTGAAAACAATGTAAACACTGCAATTAATGAGGTGTGCTCATTAAAATGAAAAAAATCTAATATTGATAAAGTATTCAAGTTAGTTTTGTTGAATCTATGTAAAAATATATAATCTCGGGAATAACATGCTAAGTAATTTAGCCGGTGACTAGTCATATATCGTATTTATTCTTAAAAGATGGCTCTTTACAGTCAGAGAATTAAAATTAAATAATCACGCTCTATTTTTTTCAGTTATGTAAATCAAAAAGAATTTCCTTCTTCCATTTCCTATTTACGCCTGTTACCTTCCAATGAAGCATAGGCCGTCGGCCAGTTTTCTCCAACCAACTCTGTCCTAGGCTTAGAGTAATGTGTTCCTCGGCCTTTCTCTTTACTTTTTCCCCTGAGCATCCTAAGCGAGGGTTTGTCTTGTGTCTTATCTACTTCCAGAGCCTCTTTCTGATTTCCTCCTTCGCTAAATTCTGGTTTGTTCTCTCCCACAGTAGGTTGTTGCTGATGGTTTCTGGCCAATGGATCAGAGGTATTTTACGTAGACAACTGTTAATAAACACTTGTATCTTCTGGGTGATGGCTTTCGTAGTTATCCAGGTTTCCTCTCCCTACAGCAGAACTATCTTGACATTTGTATTGAAAATCCTGATTTTGGTGTTGGTTGATATTTTTATGGAGTTCCAGATATTTTTGAATTGTAGAAAGCATGCCCTTGCTTTGCCGATCCGCACCCTGATATTTACATCGGATCCACCTTGGTTGTCGATGATGCTGCCCAGAAATGTAAAGGTTAGTACATCTTCCAAAGCCTCCGTCAGATGTGATTTGGTTGGTGCATGATGTGTTGAATCGGAGTATCCTGTTTTTCCCTCTTTGTATGTTGAGACCTGATGCTACTCTGGTCGTCTTCTCTTGAATTTTTTGTTGCGTGTGCGATAGAAGAATCAGATCATCTGCGAAGTCAAGATCGTCCAGCTGCATCCTAGCAGTCCATCCGATTGCGTGCTTCCCTCCAGATGTTGACGTCTTCATATCGATCACCAGGAGAAAGAGAAAGAGTGAGCAACCTTGACTGACACCGGTATTTAATTCAAACGAGTCTTTGAAATGTTCACCGGGCATGATTTTGAACTCTAACCCATCATACGAACTGTGTACGATGTTGACTATCTTCTGAGGCACGCCGGAGTGTCGAAGAAGCCTCCATAGAGTTTTCCTGTCCACACTACCAAATAATTTCTCGTAGTCAATGAAGTCGGTGTAGAGTGGTGAGTTCCATTCAATTGATTGTTCCACAATGATCCGTAATGTTGCAACTTGGTCGGCACACGATCGATCCTTACGAAATCCAGCCTGTTGGCCTGAAAGTTGGGCGTCTACAAAGTCCTTCATTCTATTTAACAACACCCTGTTCAAGACTTCCTGTTATTGAGAGAAGAGTGATGCTTCTGTAGTTCTCACACTTGCTGAGATCGCCTTTCTTTGGTATTCTGATCAGGTATCCTTCTCTCCAGTCTATTGGTATTTGTTCTTCGTCATCCCAAATCTTGTTGAAGAGGATGTGAAATATTTTCGCAGTTGCTTCTATATCTGCTTTCATTGCCTCTGCTGGAATGTTGTCTGGTCCTGCTGCTTTGGCGCTCTTCATTTGTCTGATGGCCATTCTGATCTCTTCAATTGTAGGTGCCCCAACATCATTTGGGAGGTCCGTAGATGCTGCTTTGGTGTTGGGTGTGTTCAGTGGAGCTGGTCTATTCAAGAGTTCCTGAAAGTGCTCTACCCACCGATTTCTCTGTTCTTCAGTGTTGCTGATTACTTTGCCTTCCTTGCTTTTCACTGGTCGTCCTCGTTTACAATAGTTTTCGGCGAGCTTCTTTGCTGTATCGTACAACTGTCTCAAGTTTCCTTCTCTTGCAGCCTTTTCCGCCGTCATTGCTAGATCTTCCACATATTTTTGTTTGTCGGCTCTGATGCTCTTCTTTACTTTCCTGTTTGCTTCTGTTTACTCAGCTCGTGCCTTAACTTTCTCTGCCCTTGTTTGGCTGACATTGATTTCTGCCTTCTTGTTCCTCCTTTCTTCAATTTTTTCAAGAGTACCATCAGAGATCCATTCTTTGTGGTAGTACTTTCTGTGGCTCAAAACTTCGTGACATGTTGAAGTGATTGCCTCCTTGATCTCTTTCCCATTGTCCTCCATGGTTTTGTCCTCACCGCTGAGTAGACCGTGCAAGTCCTGAAATCTACTGCTGATGGCTATCTTGAATTCATTGAGTTTTACGATATTCCTAAGAAAGGCCAAATGAATAATGTTGTCTTAATAAATGGAAGATTTAATGTGAGCCTTATGATACAGTAGTTGTCTTTGTATTAAAATTTTTGATGCAATTTAATCTAACATTGATTTATTAAACGATACTCTTTTTGAGTCCGAAATTCATCCTCAAGAAACACACATTAGCATATGTAAAGCTGTTATCAAATTATTAATAATCTCGTTTCCTTTGGTCTTCAATGCTCTATAGTCTTTGAAGTTACAAAGTCATAAATTCGATCAAATGAATTTAATATCTGCTTCATTTATTCGTTTTGCCACAGCAATTAAAAGATTTCATGCATTTTCTCCATAAAACACAATATGACTGTTTGTTCGTGGTGGTAGTGGTAGTGTATACTACTTACTTACTTACTTACTTATAAGTAGTATGCAGTGGATATGCAGCAGAATATCGCCCTGAATTTACAGTTAAAGTGAAAAGTTTTGGATCCGCACGTATGGCGCGATTCTGCGCGTTTTGAGGAATAGAAAATATGTGGAAGAATAGAGCCAAGAATACGCTTGTTGTATAAATAAATGTTTTATGATAATAAGGTGCATATATTTTCGTTTGAATAGTTGTCTTCTCCAAATAAGCACCCTTTTCTTTCAGTTGATTATATCATTAATTTCTTTATACTATGTAGATTGATGGAGTTTGTTTTCCTGGGATTACACCAACAACAATTGGTACTTCTAATCTAGCTTCCAGTTCAAGCCCAGTTGTACCTACAGGTTCTGATACATTCACACTAGTATTACCTGCTGTAAGTTTTCTCCAATTTTTTAAAGAATGTCTAACTGCTATTCAATCAAACTCTACGTTTCATGCTTGATTCTTTATGTTTTAGGTGAACTTTTCCTAGGAATAATGATTATCGTAAATAATTTCGGAAAGTACCATGAATCAGATCCATTATGATTTGGTATTCATTCCCTCATAAACTGTAGATATTTAACTTCCCGAAAAAATAACGATTGTTAGCCAAAATTTACATTTTCCATGCCTAAAGCTTGTAATGAAATCAAAATGACGTAAAAGGTATTGATGATGGTATATGAGGAAGAAATAAATTAAGGAGTGATGAAATTGTGTCATGTGCATAGGAAATTTGAAAAACTAAAATGAACTGTAATTATTACCTACTGTTATTTTCAGAGTCAATAAAATTAAAGATTGTTTTAAATAAGTTTGCTACTGTTGAAGTTGGGATATATGGACCCGCAGTGGATTTTATCAATAGTGCCCTTAATTGTAAGCTTTATTACAACTGGATTGTAGCTAGCTAGTGGAATCTGTAAAATACGTTTCGTTATTTTTTTCTCTGGACTAGTCACCTGGTTGCATGGACAACTCAGTGTTCATAATCACACACTGACACCAGGAGATACTTCATTTCAAGCCCCATTATGAATATCAACACTGAAATTTCAGAATATTGAGCAGTGTAATTCTCTGTTAATCGAAACGTACATCCTTGATCCTATCGCTAGTAACAACCCAACTTCTTCACCGAACAGTTAGGTTTTAAAATCAACCAAAATATGATCAATAAAGTTATTGATTTTCAAATAAAATAGATTAACTGAACACGTTACGACATAACGTTTACCCAAAACTTTAATTAACAAACTTAGTGACGAATAAGAGACTAATTCTAATGTCAACAGTAATCTCATAATAATAAAATGTCATAAACACATAATACTACATCTTCCCGCTTTGTATTCTCATTCATATTTTTCTTAGGGTGAGACAAATTCACAAACAGGAATATCATCTAAATACTTTGAAACACAAGCACGTTCAGCCACAGCGTTTTGTTCAGTAAGTAACTTATAAATTTGGTTTGATAAAATATACTACTTAAAAGTAGTCAAATTCTTAACGATAAATTATCGTGAAATACTGATTTCATTTGATAAAATAATATGAGTAAGCATAGTTTTGAATGCAACTAACCATTACAAATTTTTTTTTCAATATTTATTTATAGACTGCTTATAATAATATTACTGCATGTCAATTATTAGCTAATTTATGTACTTTACAATTCAATACACTATATGGTACTGGAACTGGATCAGCCAGTACATGTTCAGAATTTCAAAGACTTACCAGTCAAAGAACTCCAATTAATAGTGATTATACTAGTTGGTAAGTTCCTGTAGAATATTAACACATAAAATTGATTTTTTATTTGCCAAAATGTATTGTTCAATACGATAAGATAATTAATGTAGTGTAAAGCTTTACATGTTAGCTTTTAGTACTTGTTATGTGAAGCGAAATTGTTGAGTGTTAAATATGATAAATGATTGGGGATGTTAGATCCCCAGAGCACAATTGATAAATGTCTTTATTTTGGATTTTATTCATGGGCTGGTCAGTTGACCTTGAGATCACATTTCCCACCAGGAAAAGCCTTGGTTAAGATTGGTTACTGTGTTATTTTAGTGTGCTATTTTTTTGACTTCCAAGGACGTTTATATGGTGTATAAATAAACGAGATTTTTGTGCTTGATTGCATTGTGATTGCTGGTTGTTTGTAGAATATACTTTCCACGCTATATCAAGACTTCTCTTTAGCCGTTTCGAGTCAACGGATCAAGGGAGCCTACCAACACCCATAATCCACTGTACATTACAGTCCATTCAGTTACTAATTTGCTTAACGAGGAAGCAGGCATTAGATTGGGGCCCCCACTGGGAATTATGTGTAAATATTGGATTGGTTCTAAACAAAATGAATTTCATTACCAATCACAAAAATAAAAAATAACTTTTTATTGTAGTCAGTAGATACTCAGACTAGGTTTTGTAGTTGCATACTGACATGAAGTGTTACATAAAAATGAAACAACTAGTTTCAATCGTTTTCTAATCCAAAAAAAATACATACTAAATAAAATTCATACGTATTGTAAGGTTCATCACTAAGTATGCATGAAACTATTATGAGTTCACCTTAGTCGATAAACTAGAACGAGACAATGAACCAGCGTTCAGGTGAGCTACCTTGATCTGTTGACTGGAAACAGCTAAAGAGAACTCTTGATATAGCGTAGAAAATATATTTTACAAACACTCAGCAAACACAATGCAATCAAGCACACAAATCTCGTTTATTTATACATCATAAAAACGTCCTTAGGACAGTAACAAAAATAGCACACTAAAATACACAATAACCAAGGATTTTCCTGGTGAGAAATGAAATCTCAAGGTCAACTGATCAGCCCGTACTCTCAAGCATGTAATCCAAAATAAGGCATTTATCAAGCGAGTTTCGTGGATCTAACGTCCTCAACACCTATCACATTCTAAAGTTAATAAATAAGCTCGCCACTATTATGAAGAGGAACCATGTGAGCGTATTTTTTTTTAAAAGTTCCATAGTACTTACTATCAGCTCTTTCTTGTTTTTAATTTTTCTACAGCCAGTGCCAGTTTGATATAAACTATAACATTTCTTTCTCTCTCTTAATCTTCATTGAATATTTCTAATCTTAAAAAATTAATTGTGTGAATTGTATCATCAGTTGAACATTGATTTATCTTTTTTTGTGTCAATTAGTCACTTGAATATTGTCTGCGTGCAACAAAATATACATATCGGTCTAAAATTTCAACGTTTCACACCGGGTGGAACTAATGTTTCATCTTATTGGAAACTATTTAGCTAAATATACTTGTATCTCAGTGTTGATAATGATATAATGACATAAATATTGTACAAAGCTGAATTGTTAAGGTTATAGAGCAAAGTGATTTGCTTACTGTGTTATACTGTTCTAACTATTAGACAAGTAAGTATATCTTGAAAAATAACAATTAAGATATTCTTGGCCTTTACTGAAAGTTAATCTTGCAACTCGACGTGTATCACTAGTCAAAGTGACGATATTACGCTGTAGACGAAATAGTTCAAGCGAAGTGAATAAATATTACCGGATTCTTATATTAATGAACGTTGATCTCTTCTTCATTACAGTCTCGAACTCAGTACCAATTCGTTTTGCAGACTTTCACAATAATCACTGAACAACTGTGTGTAAATAGCCACTAACCTACGCAAATGGGTATTAGTTTTATTTTGTAAGGGTTTGTATTATTCTTGTTACTTAATGTTAAAGATTGTAAATGGATAGCTTTTTTAACCGATACGGACAACGAGATGGTGTATACTCCTGCAGTGATCAGAGAATATTTACTTTCTTTTTGTGTAATTAAACCATTACACTAAATCTAATATTTTTGTGAAATATTACTACACATTTTAAATCATCAATCAATTATTGATAGACCGCCATTGGAAACCTGGAAGTACTGAACGGCCGTTTTGTCCTGTTATGGGACTCATCAGTAGACGTGCGCATCCACGACTCCTGAATCTTGCAGGATTCGAACCCGGGACCTTCGGTCTTACGTGCGAACGTCTAACCTCTGGACTATCGGGCCGGCATCCGACGGTGTTAATGTCTAACTCTGATTGATCAAGGGATTTTGATGATTTCAAATGTGTAAAAAACACTCCAATTTCCATAATCCCCAATTGAAAATATCGTGAGAAAATTCTCGGAGTTTTAGTTAAGAAGACGTGACCAGCAGAGTTCAACCCTGTCGGGTGTAGGCAGTAACTACCAAAGACAAATAGGTGAGGTCGTGCAGAATCCCTAGACCAATCAAAGTTAGGCATTATTACCGTTAGATGCCGGCCCAGTAGTCCAGAGTTTAGTCGTTCGCGCACTAGACTGAAGGTCCCGGGTTCAAATCTTGCGAGGTGCAGGAGTCTTGAATGCGCACTGCTGATGAATCCCGTACCAGGACGAAACGGCCGTTCAGTGCTTCAAGGTTTCCAATAGTGATCTAACAATGATAATAATAACTCTAATTGAAAACACTACTACATTTTTTGCTTCCTTCAAAGTAACCTCATTATGATTTTGATTATTATTATTATTATTGTTATTATTATTATTATTATTATTATTATTATTATTATTATTATTATTTAAACAATATCAATGCAATTTTTTTGTTAATTTTCAGGGTGACTAATATGCCATGGCTTTATTATAGTCCAACTAAAGGATCAACAGTTTTAAAAGATACATCTATACCAACAATTTATAGTCCTAATTCTAATTTACAAATCTATTTAGCTGCATTTAAAATAAATGGTGAATTTTTAGGTTTTCAAGATGCATCACAAGGTGGACAATTGCAATTGTGTAAAGATACATCAGCACGAATGAAAGCTGCATTTCAATTTGCTACAACATATAAACAAACTGTAAGTTTTGTGAGAAATAAAGATGCTTCCGGCATACTATACTGCTGCATCACAAAATATCACTTGTTAAAGTAATCTGTGGTTGGGTATAAGTAATACATGTCTCAACCACCGCAAGTAATGAAAATTCATTACTTCATCAATTGATTTGCCATCCTTAACTAGGAGGATCCTTATCTTAACACCGACAGTGATTACCGGATGGTCCCAGGATATGCGAGAAATGCTGCAAACACATCGATGATCGAATACTATTAACTTACGAATATCCTCTACTCTTACCGGTCATGTTTCACACCAATAGAATAGGACGGAGTGAACTGATGTGCATTAAACTCATTCTTTGGTTGGTAGATGGTTATCTTGCCTAAGCCATAAGTGACACAAGTTGACACAAGCCAGCTGAACCTAATGTATCAGTGCCAAGATTTCATCAGAAACCAGGCCATCAGGGCTGATGAGAATCCTATGATAAGTGAAGTAGTTAACACGCTCAACTACTAAACTCGTTGTCACTAGTTCGGGAGCTGACACTAGCCAATCCTGAAGTAACATTTCGCATTTTTGAGGGATAAAATCGTATCAAAAACATACTTACACTGTTGCTTATTAAGGTGGTCAAAAGACTCGGCGTTTTATCAGCTTCTTCCTAAATGGAAGTAAACAGAACAGAAATCGACATCCTCAATGGTTTATCCACTAAAATCATCATGTACTACATGTGAAGTGACTTGGATAGGATTACATCATAAAAACTATATTCTTGTTTATTGAACAGATCTATTTAACTTGTCACTAATTCTCCCATGTCATGTTTCTTTTTTAGTGTGAATTAAATGTGGACGATTTATTTGATCAAGAAAAATATCCATTAATTTTCTATGATCCATGTATCCTTTTATTTTCCAATTCATTTATAATGTACACTTCTGATGGTTAACAAAACCCACTACTCAAATGAGTATATGAGTATATTTCCAAACCAAGTAACAATGAACAGAAGTTTTTTTCTCGTGAAGATGAGAACATTTAATGAGAGATGTTGAGTAGAAGATACCCAATCGATTCTCCTCAATGGCTTACATTCTTTATAACCCCTACATACTTACTTCTTTCACCTAATACACCCCCCGCCGTTGATAGAGTATAAGCGGCAACAAGAAATCTCCAGCCGACTCCACTCCGAACCTCCCTTTCCAGTTGTTCATTTATTTCATATCCCCCTCCGATTCCTACCACAATGTTTGTTTCTGTCTGCCTCTCTTTCTCCCTGAAGATCTCAAGTTATAGCTTGCCTCGTGTCACAGCTCCCACATTGTGTGTCCTATCCACCTTCAAAGTTTTTCCGTAACCTCTTCCTCAGTAGAATGCTTGCTTGTTCTCTGTCACAGTACGTTGTTGCTGATGATGTCTGGGGTGTTTTGCGTAGACAGTTTATAAATACCTATATCTTTCGGTAGATGATTGTAGTAGTTCACCATGTTCCCGCTCAATACAATGAAACTGTATTGATATTGATGTTTGCTAATAGTTGTTTTAAATTCCAGATATTCTTCAGTTGAAGAAGTGCTGCCCTTGCTTAGCTAATCCGCGCCTTCAAACCTGCATCAGATCCACCGTGCTCATTAATGTTGCTGCCCAGAAATGTAGAGGTTCGTACATCTCTCAAAGCCTCTCCGTCAGGTGTGATTTGGTTGGTTGAAGACTTTGCCTGTTATTGAGAGAAGAGTGATGTTTCTATGGTTCTCACACGTGCTGAGATAACTTTTCTTCAGTATTTTGATGAGGTATCCTTCTTTTCGGTCTGCTGGTACTTATTCTTCATCCTAAATGTGGAGAATCTTTGCAGTTACTGCTACGTCTGCCTTCAGTGGCTTCTTTCACCTAATACCCCCCTTGATAGAGTATAAGCGGCAACAAGAAATCTCCAGCCGACTCCACTCCGAACCCCCCTTTCCAGTTGTTTACAAGCGCTATTCATTTGTTTGATGTCTCCCACCGATTCCTACCACAATGCTTGTTTCTGTCTGCCTCTCTTTCTCCCTGAGAATCCCAAGTTATAGCTTACCTCGTGTCACAGCTCCCACAATGTGTGTCCTATCCACCTTCAAAGTTTTTCCGTACCCTCTTCCTCAGTAGAATGCTTACTTGTTCTCTGATGACCATGCTTATCTCTTCAATTGTTGTTGCTGACCATGAGGTTTGCGGATGATGCTACAATGATGGGTGGGTTCAGTGGAGCTGGTTGATTCAAGAATTCTTCAGGGTGCTCTACCAACCTGTTTCCCTGCTGTTCAATTTTGCTGATTACCTTGCCTTTCTTGCTTTTCACATGTCATTCTAGTTTACGATAATTCCCAGTGAGCCCCTTTGTTGTATCGTACAATTGTCTCAAGTTTCCTACTCTTTCAGCCTTTTCTACCGTTATTACTAAATATATATATATATATATATATATATATATATATATATATATATACTAAATATATATTTATATTTTTCGACTCTGATTCTCCAGCTTGGCTTTTTCTGCTCTTGTTCGGCTGATATTGATTGCTGTCTTCTTGTTCTTCATTTCTTGAATCTGATCCAGTGAATTGACAGTGATCCATTCAATTATGATGGTGCTTTGTGTGACCCAGAACCTCGTGAGATGTTGAAGTGATTGCTTCCTTGATCCCTTCTCATTTTTTTTTCTGCATTGTACTTTCATCTCCATACAGTAGATCGTGAAAAGCCTGAAATCTATTACAGAAAACTATCTTTGAATTCATTGAGTTTGTCCATTGGCCAATCATATTTTACTTTCACACATCAATTCACACATCAATTGTATATATACCTTAACAGATAAACTAATCATACTCATAACACAAATGGTTACATCTTATTATTACTATTATAGATGTTTACTTTTATGATACTAAAACACAAACTAATCAACTGATTCCAATTCCAATACGTAATACAGCTGTTATTGATAAGAATGGCAATTTCCCCAATGTAATAACTAGTTCCGATCAAAATAGTTTAAATGAAGCTTTAGCATTGGGTAATACAGCATCAGCAGTATCAATTGAAGCTGCTATACAAGATAAATGGGAATTAACTCGACGTTTATTTATGATTGATAGTTTTTCGGGTAAAACATCGACAGGATCGAATGGTGAGAGTTTTTAATTGAATGTTTCTTTGTTTTTTAAATAAAATAAAGAGAATGTGTCTGGCAATGGAATCCAGGCTGCGCATTCCATCCTTATTCGCGACTTGTTCACTGTCGCGAATGTACCTGCATCGCCTGATTGCCATTCACTCCAAGACATCAAACCCCTTAAACCGTTCGTTTCAAGCTTTCGTTTTAAATTTTAATTGAGCGTAAGCTTAATATTGATTGTCAAACATGAGAATTATATAAGATGATACTGATATATATATAAGAGAATTTTTAAAATAAAACATTTAGTCAGTCTCAAAAAAAAAGAAACCAGTCAGTACGTATTCATGTAATAAATTACTAACTAACGGATGCTAACTATTATCCAATCGAATTATACAAATCTAATTGTAAATCTGACCGTATGTAAAAAGTATGCACAAAGTAATATATTCATGTGCTCCGATTACATCACATCAAATTTTGGGGTATTTAGTATTATTAAGCATAATGTACTCACTAGTAGTGACTAGCTTTGTGGTAAAATTCTCGGAGTTCTAGTGAGAAGATGTGACCAGAGGAGTTCAACCCTGTTGGGTGTAGGTGAGCTCTCGCAAAATCCCTAGATCAAACAAAGTTTAACACTAATGCCATCAGGTGCCGGCCCAGTAGTCCAGAGGTTAAACGTCCGCGCTCATGACCGAACGTCTCGGGTTCGAATCCTGTGAGGTGCGGTAGTCATGAATGAGCACTGCTACTGATGAGTCCCATACGAGGATGAAACGGTCGTCCATTGCTTTCAGTTTTCTAATGGTGGTCCAACAATGATTGATTGATGAATTCAAATGTGTAAGCATAAAAATCAGTCAGTCAAACATTCTACAGATGTAGTAGTGGCAAATATCGTAACAGATACCACCACTAAAATATACTTACTTACTTATGCCTGTTACCCTAAATGGAGCATAGGTCGCTGACCATTTCTGATTAGCGTTTTTTTAAACGATTTAGCTTTCTAAGGGAAGTGGTCACTAAACCTGTGCCCAACCCGCCTCCTTTATCCGGGCTTGGGACCGACAGTAACCCATTAAGCACTCCAGATGGAGTTACCACTGAATATCTCAAAAATTAAACTACATTATAAGGATATTCATCATGACACTTACATGGGGTTATAGTAACTTGAACCAAAGCATAGTCATTCATGATTGTTGAGTTGAGCAGAGAGCAGTCTATAGGCACATTTGTTAGGGTGAGAAGACTGAGGCAGGCTAAATAGATTGTATTAGGCAAATTTACACTCTTAGTCAATTAAAAACGATAACATTACATTGAACACTCCATTTGCACACCATCTTTGAGTCCTGACTTCCAACGCTCCAGCCTTCCTCCATTCCTGCTGTTGCTTCCTTTACTTCCTGTCGGTGCCCTAAATCTTTCTTGCTTTTGCTCTATTTGCTTTCCGTTTTCCTCTTCTGACCGTAAGACATCTTCTTTCACGTCCATTCTTATACTACTTATATCGTTCGTATAAGTAGCACACACCACAAGGGTTAGCCCCAATTTTATCCACCCTTAAGTCTAATTTTATTCTGATCATAATTCCTCTTCCAAATTTTTTCAATTTTTAATTTTTTGTTTTGTTTTAATTAACAAAAAATATTTGTTTAAAACAAACGAAAACAAAAATTTTTTTCCGTTGACTATTTTAGTACCTCAATTAGTTCGTTATGCATCGAATATTGAAATAAAAGTGACATCACAAGATTCAGTTACTGATGGACAAATATATCCACCGATTATTAAAATTGACTATTCAAATTTATACGCTACCAATGATTATGGCAAAGGAAAACATGTTCAAGTAAGCTTGAATATATATATATATATATATATATATATATATATATATATATATATATATATATATATATATATATTGAGTTATATTAATAAAACGTTCAATGAGTCTCTTGATAACATTGACTCAATCTTTGAATGATAATCACATGTTCATTAATATTTAACTTTGTTTAAATAAACATTTTCGAAGTTCTAGCAAGAAAGCAATACAATAATGTTGACTATGAGATAGGTAATTGTTACGTATACGCATGACCACGTCGTTTGATGTGTTTGAACTATAACGAGTTTACTTTAGTCAGTAAATGAGAACGAGGATCGCGGATCCGACGACACGACAGGCTACTCTAATCCGAGCTTCCCAAACCCTCACTGAGTAACAAACATCAAGAAAGTACGAGGTTCGAGTTCAGAAGAGGATAAGGATCCGGGTCCGGGTCTGCACCTTTGAACCTTACAGATAATGTGTATTTATACAGTTTGGTCGAATAGGAAGCAACATTGAAATCTGTGAAATTGACAGTTAGGACAACCAACAGGAATCGACCAATAGAATTAGACTTACAAACAATTATCTTAGGATATTGGATGAATATCCTAACAGTAACCAGAGGAAATTATGAAAGATGGTCACGCATTTCTGTGGATTGATTGCATCTGGACTTGTACACCAATGGGTCTCGGTTCATTAAATGAGACGTTGTGGTTGGTAACTAGGCTCAATGTTCTAAATCAGATCCTTGAATATTGTGGTCGTTGATGTGTACTACTTAAGAGAGTCTCACACTAAATATGAAACAGCCATTCAGTGCTTTCAGGCTTTTCATTTCCGACATGCTAATATACAGGTAGTTAATCGGACTGCTACAGAAAACAATGTGGTATGTAATGAGAAAAATGTTACGCTCGTCTCTTTGAATGTCTAAACTATTACAAGTTCACCTTAGTCGAATAACGAGAACAAAACAATGATCCAGCGTCCAGGTAGGCTACTGTGATCTGTTGACCAAAATGTATCAGTAAGAAGTCTTGATATAGTGTAGAAATTGTATTCTACAAACACCCAGCAAGCACACGATGAATCCAAACACACAAATCGCGTTTCCTTATACGTCATAGAGACGTCCTTGGGACAGTCACAAAAATAGTACACTAAAATGACAGTAACCAATCACAGCTAAGGATTTTCCTGATGGGTCCATGAAGTAAATCCAAAATACAGATATTTATCAAGCAAGTTGTGGGAATCTAAAATCCCTAACACAAAAAGATATAAGGATGTTTTTTTCTAAAAACGACTTGATTCATAAATTGTTGCAAGAGAACATTTTCCACAAGAATCAAACTACTACTGTTAGGAGTCGTGGATGCGCACTGCTGAGGAGTCCCATACCAGGATGAAACGGCCGTCCAGTGCTTCCAGGTTTCTAATGATGGTCTAACATTGATCGATTCATGGTTTCAAAAATGTGTAACTTAACAATCTTCACAACCCCGTAATGTTAGGATATTCGTCGAATATCCTAAGAGCATTATTAGTCGATTCCTATTGGTCAATTCCTACTGGTCAATTTTATGGTCGTCCTAGATATCGATGTCCCGTGCTCCAATGTTTTTTCTTATTGGTTGTCCTGACTATCAATGTCACTTCAAATGTTGCTTCCTATTGGTCGTCTTAACTGTCAATGTCATAGACTTCGATGCTGTTTCCTATTCGACCAAAATGTATAAATACGCATTATTTGTAACGTTTTATGGCCAGGACCAGGACCCGGTCCCGGATCCCTAGTCCGGGATCCTGATTCTTTTCTGGATTCGGACCTCGTACTTTCTGAATGCTTGAAGAATACAGGTTCTACTTCATATTAAGTCTTCTTATTTTGATTCAATATGGGGGTTGGGATAATCGGACTTGAATAGCATGTCGTGTCGTCGGATCCTCGATCCGCGCTCTCGTATTCCGACTAAGATATGCTCGTAATAGATCAAGTATATCAAGTTGACGTGTTTACGTGAAGGCGTAACAAATACGAAGCAGTAGTTGGAAACCAGTATTCCCTAACTGTGATAGATCTATCGTCATTTATATACTTCAATGTATTACAACTATTGACACACGATGGTTTAGGTGTAAGAAAATATTTACAAGAATGTAAGTTTAATGGATGCTTTGACTGAAAGCAGTGACATGAAGAGTTAATGTACTACCTTAACATCATATGCTAAATGAAGGACAAATGTGGAGGAACTACTATGAACAAATGAATTATTTTTACTAAACAGTATAACTACACTCCTTGAGTTTATCCTGTACTCTACATATAATCATGAAGTTGTGAAGGTTGTCGAGTTACTTTATGAAATCATGAATTGATCAATGTTAGACGACCGGACGGCCGTCTAATCTTGGTAAGGTAATCATTGGCGGTGCGCATCCAAACACTTCAGTCTTGCAAATTACATGTGCTTACTAGTGACTAGCTCCGTAAGGAAGTTTCTCCGAGTTCTACTGAGAAGTAATGACTTGTGGAGTTAAACTCTGCTCGGGTATGAAGCGGTGCTCACCTAAGAGTGTGGATGAGGTTAAGCAAGATCATAGACATTAACAGCGTTAGATACTAGCTCAGCAGTCCGAAGGTTAGGGGTTCCCATGCAAGACCAAAGGTTTTAGGCTTGAATCCTGACAGTTGCAATATATGTTATACAGTAGTTCTTCTTAATTATGCTAAATTTGTCTACAAACGAGTGTGTACCGTTTGAAAATGAATGAGTTTCTTGATTTGTATCAGTTTTGTAATGATATCGATTTGTTGTAACCTACTTTCTAAGGGTTTAATACTCGAAAAATATCTTCAATTGTACCAAAATAATATCACTTGTAAATTGTAGATGAATTGCTTCATATCTGTTAGGATATACATCAAATATCCTATGAGAATCATTTTTGTAAGTCTAATTCTATTGGTCGATTCCTACTGGTCAATATAATGGCCGTCCTAGCTATATTAATGTGACTTCAAATGTTGTTTCCTATTCAACCTAACTGTATAAATACGCACTATGACCCGGATCCTCAGTCCGGGATCCTGATTCTCTTCCACACTTGGACCTCGTACTTTGTGGATGTTTGTAGAATACGGGTCCTACTTCATATCAAGTTTTGTTCTTTTACTCATTGTGGGCCTTGGACAATCGGATCAGAGTAGCCTTTTGTGTCACCGGATCCTGGATCCTCGCTCTCATTTACTGACTAAGGTAAACTCGTAATAGTGCAAGCATATCAAAATGATGTGTTTACATGCACGCGTAACAATATCTTAATGAAAGTTACCTTTTGAAATCATGAATCAATCAATGTTAGACCACCATCATAAACCTAGAAGCACTGGACGTCCATTTCGTCCCGGTATGGGACTCATCAGCAGTGATGATTTCAAATGTGTAAAAAAACACAAATCTACAAAGCTCTTACTGAAAATCTCGTAACAGTGCTCACTAGTGACTAGCTTCGTGAGGAAATTCTCGGAGTTCTAGTGAGAAGACGTGACCAATGGAGTTCAACCCTGTCAGGTGTAGGGAGTAACTACCAAAGACAAATGGGTGAGGTCGCGCAAAATCCGTAGATCAATCAGATTTAGACACCGACCCAGTGGTCCGATGGTTAGGCGTTCGCGCACAATACCGAAGGTCTGGTGTTCGAGTCTTGCGAGGTGCAGGAGTCGTGGATGCGCTCTTCTGATGAGTCCCATACCAGGAAGAAACGGCCGTCCAGTTCTTGCAGGTTTCTAATGGTTGTCTAACAATGATTGATCGATGATTTCAATTGCGTAAAAAAACACGAATCCTCAAAGCCCTAACTGAAAATATTATTATTATCACCGAAAGTACAGTCAAATGTGTACTTCTTAATTTAATAAGTTTTATACCCCATCTCTTCGTTACACATACATATACAAATATATTTCTTTTTTTCAACTACCAAACTAGATTACATTTTCCGTGACTTATGGTAGTTCAATCGGTAAAGAAGCAGCTTTTGATCAAGCATTACGTATTGCAATGGGTTGTATGTCTACATTGGCTGCATGTTATGCAATGATACGTACATGGATTTGGTCACGTCGTGCTGGTGTACTACGTTTAGATGCTATGCTAGTGATTAAACTAGTTTTATTTGCTGCCGGAAGTATTTCCAATGCATTTCTAATTGTAATCTATTTCGTTTCAATATACTTTTTAATATTTTATAAAGTAAGTTAAATTCGTTTACAAACAACATTATGATGGCAACTTACTATTAGTTATTTATAATAGATGATTGATATAAATAGGCTGGGACATCTTTTGATTAACAGACTAGTCACTATGCAATACCTTTACCCGACCGTAGCTGCTACCTTGACGTGGTGATCGGGCATGTCTATCATGATAACCCAACCAAGCTATATTGGGTGGAAAATATGTTCCCGTAGGTTCTGCCATGCCAGACAGGTCGATTGGAGAATGAAGAGACTAAAAGCAGCAACTCAAGGACTGAGGGAGAAATCGTACTGCTTGCTGGCTGTATAGGAGTGTGACAGCCGTAATGTATGTCCCTGAAACGATGAGCAGCCGCAGTGATGCTCTCTTCTTACAAGAAAGGCAAGAGTCAGAAAAGGTCGACCCTAAAATGTTACACCTCACCTCATAGATTTCCATCTCTGATGGCAAAGCCACCTAAAGGGTAGAGCTAACACTCTAAAAACTTACCATAAAAAAACTGTGCGTTACCGGCCCCAAGTATTTGTTCCTTGGGCTCTGTGGTCACACTACCAGGTCTCTAAGACCAACGCCAATCTAGTTTCTTTTTTCAGATTCCTCAAAAAGTGCCATTGCACAATGTGGTCAGCCGAGAAGTGACAACCACCCTCATACCCGTAAAAGTACACGAGACTGACTGACTTATGTCTAACTGCTATTCATCATGAAAGAATGGATATGAAGTTCACTTATGTGATCAAGGTGCACTGTTTGAACTTCTTGTAAAACTTTAATGTTTACTGGCTACTTAATTAATTATTTGAAACCTGTCTTATATTCTGTCTTAATTCTATGTTCTAATTCAATGTAAACTGCGAAAATGTATAAATGCTTCTTACTTTTTTCTGTGAAGACAAAAATTATAATTCACGAAGCATGGCAATTGTTCATTTAACTCCATAAAATCAATGATTGAAATCGATTCTAATGAAGCATTGTACCTTACTTAACGTCATATGTGGCCTGTCAACTTAAAACGTTTAGAACTACGGTAAACTGAAATTTACTTACTTAAGACTGTTACCCCTAATGGAATATAGGCCATCGACCAGCATTCTCTATCTAACCTACTCTGTCCTGGGCCATTGTTTCTAACTCTTTTTGTCTGCTTCCAATTCTAGTTAGAATGTGTTCCTTAATCATGCTCTTCTCCTCTAACCTTGAAGATTCCAAGTAAGGGCTTATTTTGTGACATAGTTCGGTGCTTTCTTCAATATTTGTCCTATTCACATCCAGGACTTTTTCTGTGATTCTTCCTCTGGAGCTCTCCCGTAGTTACTTCCGATCCCTAACCCGGATAACGGAGGAGAGTTAGCGACCCTATACCCAACCCAAGGCGAAATATTCAGCAATTATATAAACCATTAGAGTTCAATGATAAACGGATTCAGAGAAGAATATTAGTTGGCCTGTAAAAGTTATACATGAAATACAGTACCATTGATCTCAGTTTATCTAGTAGACCTTCGACAAGATATCCAAGAACTCCGCTTTGAAGTACGCAGTATGAAGCTGAAATCTATTATTAACTCAGATATAAACACAATACAAAATGTCTCTAATTGTACAGTTAATGTATTTATTATTCACCGCCATCATACGTACTTACTAACCGCCATGTAAACTCTTGTTCTGATCTACATTTAGTTCTCTATCGAATAGTTGAATAATTATCACTAAATCATGTGACCAAATACTGCGATCAACATTTCTGTTAACAATCACCAGGAATAATGTTCAATATCTGTTTATTTGATTTCAGGTACAAAGTGTATATTTAATTAATCTACCGAATTCTGATGAATTTATATTAGTTTATATTGCAATTGCATTTGTATTGAAATGTATTGATCTGATACATTTAATAGCTGTTCAATGTACAATGGATATATTTTTAATTGATTGGGAACCGCCAAAATTTAATCGTAATGTTAACTATGCTAATCCACCATCGAATACTGATTTACATTTAAGTTCAAGAAGTCAATCATTTGCAAAATATAACATGATTAACGGTAAGTATTCATTCATAAGAGAGCATGCTTAAAATGTCTTAGAATAAATACATTGACTAATAGTTTCAACTGTGCCAAGTCAATGCATATTTGTCATAATCATCATAAGTGATTTTTGATTGATTGGTCGATGAATGCATGGAGGCGTATCTGGCATATCACAGTTCCGTTACTTTGATACATATCACCAAGTTAAATATAAGGATGAACCAATTAGATTTCGGCGCGAAATTAGTTCAAGTAATATAACCGATTTGTGTAAGGAAAAACTCTATAATCTCAAGTCATATAAGTTTACTGTAATCAGTAATAATAGTCAAGTTTTCGTACATATTTTGTGTACGATTCAAACGGAGGTTTGGACTAAGGATTAACTGTCTAGATAGATTAGATACGCGTCTTGCCCAGTTTAAAACCAAAACAAGTGATTTGGGTTAATGACGGTTCTAATATTCATCACAAATATAAATGTACATCATTACCTAAACAATATTACCTCTCAGCTATTCCACTAACAATTGTTCAATTATTCAAATCAACAGCAACCAATAAATGATATTCCGTCCCTCCTGGATAGATCAGATTCGTTCGAAAGATAATATTTAGTTGCTTTATAACAGTGTGCTTCAGTTTACAATCAAGATGCACAATTCCAGTCAAAGCAAGCAAACCAATCAAAAGAGGAACAAATCAATATGGCTGTCGCCATGATAAAGTATCAGCTTTAATGCAGTTCAGAAAGAAACTCAGAAACTCAGTGAAGACAAAAGAAATAGAAGCTATAATAAAATACAAATATTATCATCAAAAAATGGAATCGAACAGACTACACAAAATGTACATGTTAAGTGAATAATTCTTCATATTAAAATTCGAGTTGTGTCATTGTTGGGGATGTTAAATTCCCAGAACTCGCTTGATAAATATCTTTATTTTGGATTGATTTCATGGACCGGCCAGTTGACCTTGAGATCATATCTCCCACCAGGAAAATCCTTGACTGTGATTGGTTACTGTGCCATTTTAGTGTGCTATTTTAAGACTGTCCGAAGGACGTCTCCATGGTGTATAAATAGACTCAATTTCAGTGATTGGATTGATTGTGTGCTAGCTGGGTGTTTGTAGAATACACTTTCTACACTATATCAAGACTTCTTGCTGGTACAATTGGGACAGTCGGATCAGAGTAGCCTACCTGGACACTGGTTCATTGTTTTGTTCTCGTTATTCGACTAAGCTACTCCCGTAATAGTTTAAATCATACCTAGAGCAGAGTATATCATCGACTCATTGTCGCATGTCATCCATTATTCTATATATGAAGGATGAATCATAGTTATTGTCTGTAAGGTCTATTATTCACAATTCATTATGTTATACAACACAAAAAATGACTATCCTAACTTTCTAGTATATTTGAACTACCGGAATCTAAATTTAAGTTTTATTCAAACATTCATATATGGATGGAAACGGATAAATTTCTTGTTTGACATACAACAACAAGAACTAGATCCAATATTGATTGTGTGTTCAATGTTCAACTGTACCACAATGTACATTGTTTATCGCTTCATCATCATCATCATCATCATCTTCTTCTCTTGTTTCTTTATTCTATTTTCTATACAACTAATGTGATACAGATGATTTAGAAGTACGTTCTAGTAAAAAAGAATCACGTTCAACTTTACCGCCATCATCATCAGCATCCAATCAAATGGAAGATAGTAGTGGTATTTCAGTATGGCGTATAATTTATGTAGCGAATGAATGGAATGAAATACAAACTTATCGTAAAACTAGTTGTTTAATCACTATTGCTTGTGTGCTTATTTTAATGCAGGTAAACGAAAAGAAACGTTCAAAATATGAATACATCAATATCATCATTCTTTTTGTTACATTGATAATTTTATGTAAATTCTGATTGGTTCAATGGTGAGAATTTCACGTGATCGATTGATTATATGTCATATACAGAGATATGTCAATAGATGAAGTAATGAAAGTTAATCAGTTAAGGTGATCGAGACGCGTGTTACGTATGTCTAACCACTGACTGCTTTGATGAGCTATGTTTTATGGTGTAGGTTTAGGTTGGAAGAAAGCTAGTGGTGGCCAAACCAAAACATGACACAAATCTTTCAAGTCATTGACAAGTGGATTGAGTCATGTTTGTAGGTGTAGACTATCTGGTTGGGGTCAGCGAGATGATAGGAATTGATGGTTAGCGACCCTCAATGACATGGCGCAAAACCGTTTGCAATGGCGTAAGTGCATTCATTCATTCTGTGTTCGCTCAAATCTCAACCTTCGGAGTTCCTCATCAGCTTTATCTTTTTTTCATTTTAAGTTTATTTCACTAGATTCTAGTTCTTGAATAATACCATCGAACCCTGATCTCTTTGATTACTGCAAAAATATTTCTACTACCTCTACTACTATAGGATTTGAATTGACAGTTGTATTCCTGTTCTAATGTGATATGGCAACTTGAACTGATGTACATACGTACGAAGTTCTACGTTATAACTGACTGACCAACTGACTGATATATCTATACCATACATAATCTGACTTAGCAAAATCGGAGCATATAAAATTAATCTGACCAATAATGACAGTCTATTGATTGGTACACTATAGATCATTATTACAATTCGTTAATGACAAATATACAATAAGAAACGCTGCAAAATGAAACATAATTTTAATTGAAGGTTACTTTTCGTAACTATATGCTTATGAATACAGTTTAAGTATGACACATCAACTTAACTTTTGAACATTTCACATTGTACTCGTGTTCATAGACTAGTAACATCTCGATCATCTCAACTACATAATTGTCTTACTACTCTACACGAATAAGTCCAGTAGTAAATGATCTGATGATGAAAGCCGAGTTCCTTCGAAAGTTACGAGGCCGATGCACCTTCTGAAAACCAGAACCACTCCACCGTGTGGGTAGCAGCCGGGAAGTAACATCCGCCCTCATACCCATATAATCTGATATTTTAATCTGTGCATGTAGGCTGATAAGTCCTTCGAATAGATACCGGTAAAAAAGATCGTTTGGAGGTTAACCTATATCTGAACTAAAAATGAATCTTATCCGTACAAAAGCACTGAATTAATTATAATAGGTAAAATAAAAGGTCAGAACACTCAAACCATTACATAAGGAACAGTAAGTAATCAGAGGTTCACATTTATGCTTTAAGGATAAAAAGCCAGAAAGGGGCGGGGTTAATTCTTATTCTTCTTCAGAAAGTTTCTGTGTTCGTTGTTACGCATGAACGTCACACGTCGATTTGATATGCTTGAACTATTACGAGTTTACCTTAGTCAGTAAACGAGAACGAGGATCCGGTGACACGACAGGCTACTCTGATCCGATTGTCCCAAAGACCCATTGAGTAAAATAATAAGACCTCATATGAAGTAGAATGTGTATTCTAAAAGCATCCAGAAATTACGAGGTCCGAATCCAGAAGAGGATAAGGATCCCGGACTAGGGATCTGGGTCATAAATTGTTACAGATAGTGCTTATTTATACAGTTAGGTCAAATAGGAAACAACATTTGAAGAATGTGACGTTGATAGTCAGGACGACCATAATATTGACCAGTAGGAATTAACCAATAGGAATTGACCAACTACTGAATGAATCTAAGTGATCAATGTTTAATAAGATATTACTGATAAATGTAATCAAGAAACGCGAATTAGTGGCAGCTCTATTCAATGAACATTTTCATTGAGTTTCATACGTATATATAAAACAGATTAAATCACATACATTTTACTATTCAAATAGTAATATTGACCTTACGAATAGTTCTTCATCATCAACAACAACGTAGAACTCTGTACGTAAGTGCAGCAGATCAAGTTGCCATACCACATTAGCACAGAGATATAATTGTCAATTCGAATCCCATAGTAGTAGAGGTAGTGAAATTATTAGATGTAATCGGAAAGATTAGGGTTCGAAGATGTTACTCAAGAAGTATAATTTAGTGAGGTAAATTTAGAAAGAGAAAGATAGAGGTGATGAGCAATTCAGAAGATTAGAATTTCATAGAACACAAAGAGTAAATGCACCTGCGCCAATTGCAAACGGTTCTTACCCATGTCGTTCAGGGTCTCTAACCATCAATTATCATCATCTCGCGGACCCCAACCAGGTAGCCTACATCTACCATCATGAATCAGTCCACTTGTCAGTGGCTTTATGGATTTCTGCCATGTTTTGGTCTGTCCTCCCCTATCTTTCGTCCAACATAGCTCGACGAGGCAGTCGATTGTTAGGCATACGTAACACATGTCCCGACCACCTCAACTGATGAATTTTACTTCTTTATCAACTGACCTGCCATCCGCACCCAGCACCTGTTTCCTAATGACAGCATAGCTTACTCGGATGTCCCATGATACCCGAGCAATGCTTCGGAGACACCTTTGATCGAAAACCAGTAACGTACGAATATCTTCTACTCTCACTGGCCATGTTTCACAGTCATATTGTAGGACGGAGCGAACTACTGCGCTGTACAGTCGTCCTTTAGTCAGCAAACGGATATCTCGCCTACGCCATAAGTGACGCAGGTTGGCAAAAGCCAATCGAGCTTTCTGTATCCGTGCTGAGATTTCGTCAGTCACCAGGCCATCAGCACTGATGAGACTTCCAAGATTGTGAAGCAGTCAACATACTCAACTGCTTCACTCCCTATCACTAGTTCAGGTGCAGATGCAAGCCAGTATCGAGGCAACATTCTGCATTTTGAGGGTGAGAACCGCATCCCGAACATGCTTGCATTGTTGCTTATGGTAGTCAGAAGACTCTGCATTTTGTCAGTGTCAGACCTAAGTTCTTTAAGACTTTCCATCCAATGAACTATTCTTGCTGAGAATAAACTACACATATACAGTTGGTGAAGAAGACCCATTTATTGACTCGAAATTAGACTGTAATTTGTACGAACAATTCAATATTCGCTGAGATAAATCTTTCATCTAATTTCTGTAAATCACTTTCAGGCGAGTTTATCATTTATGACTAAGACATAAGAATGAGAAGCGTAAAAGCGAAGCGAAGCAAATCGCAGAAGGCGGAAGGGCCAGTTCCATTTGATGTGGCATGACTAATTATTTATAGTCAGACAAAAAAAGGCAGACATGTGATTAACAAAGTAAGCAGTGAGCACACATGTAAATAAAAAAACAGAAACGACTAGTTTGAAAATCAGCTTTTATGATGGTTGTCTAATTCGGATTGTCTCGTGAGATCAATAAAATTCAAAAATCTCTACAGCCCTCCTGCTGATTGATAATTGTCATTTGCTCATTAGCGACTAATTTCAAGATGCAACTCCTGGAGTAACAAGGGAAAAGTAGTAATCAGTGAAGTTTAACCGTATTGGTTGTGAGACAGTTACCCACCAAAGACAATAAAAGATGGTTGCTCATTACTGGAACCAAGTCAGTAGTCTAGAGGTCAAGCATCTGCGCCTGCAAGAATGAAGGTCCTGTGGGAACGTGAATTTATAATACTGACGACAGAAAAGGCTATCCGGTACACTCTGAGGTTTTTAATCCTTATCTATCTTAGATCGGTTCATAATCTTAATAAACTTTAATAATTTACACAATCTTATATACTGATATTTAAGCGAATACTGACAATTATGATGAATGCACTGTAAACTCCACCTGAAGCTCCTCCGGAGCTACTGCCAGTCTCAAGCCCGGATAAATATCAATATTTCATCGTATTATTCTATTTATATAAATATATATTTCAGTCTTTCCCCCTTAAACTTTTAAACATACAAAAATTTACAACTTATTTTCATAAATTTCAGGTTATTGGATTAGAAAATTTAGCTTCATCCGATGCTAAGTCGAATGTTCTACTGAATCCATATGAATATCAAAGTCCACAAAGTCGTATCTTTCGAATTGCTTTAATACTTTCAATTTTTGCAATAAGTGGTAAATTTACTTTTGTTTTAATGAAGATTCTCCTAACCATATTGAATATCATTCTTCTATATCACCTTACCATAATAGTTTATGTTATGATGATCAATGTTCGAGACCTGAACGTGTGATATGCACCAACTCGCCAAAAACTAACTACTTAAGAGAGAAGGCAAGAATAGAAGATGAAGTCTGTTTTTTTTCGGTTATATAGCTGTTTCTCCCATTCTTGATCGATGAGCTGCAGCTTTGTGTTGTTTAGGACAGTTCTGATTGTCATCAAGTGATGACCTTCTCGTTTAGTCACTTCTGATTGGCTTTCGATATCATCAACTTACTAATTGTTTACATGTAGGTTACATCAACCGTAGATTGATGTCAATTAAGTACACTAATGAAGACACCAAGGTGTATTGTACACCTGTTTCGTCATTCTAGCTAACTTCTTCCAAATATCTGCTTATTTAATCTTATCACTGATTGAACTGAGGACCTTTAGACCACTCAATGAACAAGCTTGGCACTCAGGTCAATCAACAAACACATCGACATTAACCCAATTTATCAACCAATCAGTAAAATCATAAGTGATATAGGATCAACAAACAGATCAAAAGGGGGATACAATCAAAACAAAGGTGCAAACAACGACAGGTTTAAGGTCAACAGCAAGCAATCAAGATCGAGGTTAGCAGAACAAGCTACTGGTTAAACGTGGAGAAATTCAAATGCTTCACTTCTATCTGAAGTTTGTGCTGATGATGTTGTTCAGCTGAAGAACAATAATGAAAGCTTCACAACCAAAATATCCAGCTCAGAGAACCAAACACCACCACCACAATCATCCACCTGAGCTATAAATCTTCTCTACCAACTCAATGAACATCTAACCATTAGTGCCACTGAGTTTATATTCAAAAAAGCACATTTAACTTAAATTCATTTGTGATTTAACCTGACGATGGTCTAAAATCCACAAAAACTTTTTCAATCACTCTTATATTTATAAATTCCAACAGATTTTCGCATAAAATTAAATACCTTTTTAACAATATTTTACATTAATATTCATTGTAGTAGGAAAGAGTGAGAATAAATTTATGATAGTCATATTTTTGTCTGTTTGAGTAGACAACATTTTATTAAGTTGACAATGTAACGAATATAGAAAAATCTTATTTGTTTGTAAGTAGTTTTTAATAGCTTACCAACATACTATTTATTTACACAACTGCTCGCTCTAAACCATTCATAAATTACACTCAGTTAACTATGTTCCAACCAGTTTTACATGGAATAAAATTCCCTAATTGTACACTTATTGAGATTCGTAAATTGTGATAAATCGTTTGTTTCTAATTTACATAAAAATTAGTCATGAATTTCGTAAGAATAAAAAGGATAGAACCTAGTGGTGAGCTGTTATATGATTGAAAGAAAAAGGGGATCCGGTGGTTAGGCTTTGCTCTAGTTTGTGATGCTCGTCAACGAGTCTAGTGAATACGAACTCTCGTCACCTAGTTTAGTAGTCTGAAATGTTACCATTGACCAGTGTCAGGCAAGGTTGCTTACTCTCTTACCCTTTCTCTTTCTCCTGGTGATCGACTGGATTATGAAGACGTCAACCTCTGGAGGGAAGCACGGCATCCAATGGACAGCTAGGATGCAGCTGGACGATCTGGACTTCACAGATGATATGGCTCTTCTATCGCACACGCAACAACAAATACAAGAGAAGACAGCCAGTGTAGCAGCAGCAGGTCTCAACATATATATAAAGGGTAAAGCAAGATTCTCCGATACAACACAACCTGCGCCAACCAAATCACTTTTAATGGAGATGCCTTGGAGGACATTAACACCTTTACATATATGGGCAGCATCAATGACGAGCACAGTGGATTGGTTGCAGATGTAAAGGCGTGGACCGGAAAAGCAAGGGCTGGAACTCCAAACAAATATCAACCAACACCAAATTCAGGATTTTCGATACAAATGTCAAGACAGTTCTACTGCATGGAGCGGGAACTTGGAGAACTGCGAAAGCCATCCTCCAGAAAATACAAGTATTTATGAACAGTTGTCTACGAAAAATACTTTGGATTCGTTGGCCAGACACTATCAGCAACAACCTACTGTGGGAGAGAAGAACCCTCAAGGTCAAAGGAAAAGAAAAAGACCAAGGAACACATTACGCTGAGAAATAGAGAAAGACATGAGAAGAATGAACAAAAACTGGAAAGAACTGGAAAGGGAAGCCCGGGACAGAGTTGGTTGGAGAAAACTGGTCGACGGCCTAAGCTCCATTGGGGTTAACAAGTGTAAGTAAGTAAGTAAGACTGTTCAGATCGAGAATGGCCTGTAGAAATGAACAATTTACTGCTGACTGATCTCTGAATAGTGATCAATGTTCTGTTTGTCTAGTCCTTGGTGCTGATCGAATTTCAGTGATTAAGTTACAATTTGGCCTCCAATCTAAACAGTTTCCCACCACATATACTGTTTTAAGATATTAGGTGGTTAGAGGTACTTGATAGCAAATTACTTGGTGGACGGAATTCCGTCAGCACAAATAACTAAACAAACATGACATTGGTCAATCATTATTGAGGTGAGTGAGTGATCAATTAACTTAAGTTGTGAGCATTCACCTGAATTCTTAGTTCGTCGGTTTGAGAGTAGATAGGAAATTTCATAACCTACTGAATATGTTTAACCAAATACAGAAATACTGTTGGTATGAGTTTAATTAATGAAATATGTATGTGATGGATACTACTCGTAATGTGGCTGCTAATTAGTATCCAGGGCAGTGTTGCCCAGAAGTTACTGCCGGAAAGAACACTATCAGATCAAAATGCACGGTACGATATTACCAATTAGACCTTTGGAGATTAGTGTTTTTACACATTTGAATGCATTAATCAATCATTGTTAGACCACCATTAGAAACCTGGAAGCACTAGACGGCCGTTTCATCCTGGAATGTGACTCATCAGCAGTGCGTATCCACCGCTCCTGCACCTCGCAGGGTTCGAACCCGGGACCTTCAGTATTGTGCGCGAACGCCATCGGACCACTGGGCCGCCATCCAACAGTGTTAATAATCTAACTCTGATTGATCTACGGATTTTGCGCGACCTCACCCATTTGTCTTTGGTAGTTACTGCCTACACCCGACAAAAACAGTGAATAACCTGGTCGTTTTGTAAATGAATGTCTGAAGATGAGGTGTACATATTTTGCCCATAAACTGTGTCTTCTCCAAATATACAGATTCGATTCGCTTTCGAATTCTTCGTACTTTGCTAGTGGAACACATCAAGCAGAACATCTTGTGACATTTTTTGTCATTTAAAACACATGAAACCACTCTTAATATAAAAGTCTATAAAGGCTCAAAAATACCAAGAAACGTCTCATCCACTCAGCGCTGAAAACTGCAGAATCACGTGCTATGATATTTGGCCATACCACCACGGTATTTAGAATGGATCTCGAACCTTCCAGAAGCTCAAGCTCATGTGTAGCTCTATAAATACCCTCATTTATCGTACATCACTTGACTTTGGAGCAAAGCGTTCTTCTCATTTTTCGCGCCTTTTCTCTCGCGTTCAAGTTGCAGTGTATATTCACTCTGGAATGATTAGAAGAGGATGATAATCAGATCTTGCGTTCATTTACCAGGCTCATCAGTCAATTTGTTATATTATCCAAACATAATACATACAGACCTTGAGCCTGACCGTGTTGAACCATAATGACCACTGCTTCTAATTCTAGATTTTCAAGACTTTCCTCTCAAAATCCGTCACTGGAACTCAGTTGATTGTCTTGAAATCAGGAAACAATCTCAGCTAGATCTGGAAGTATACTGGACAATTGTTTGTTTCAGGGGATGCCAAATCCCCCTAAATTCGAATTTATTATTTTCGCACCTGAATTACCACTTGTTACTTTCAAATCGTGTATCCCACTTGAAAGAGCCTTAAACCTGAATTGTTGGCGTTCTCTTTTTCCGTGCTATTTTGTAACTCTCTCAAGGACGCCTTTTGTACTGGCATATACTACGCCTGAATCGAATGCTTTTTAATTCGTGGATTATACAATCTTTCTGCTAACTTAAGACCTCTTACTCCAGTTAGCTAAGCTTGATCTCATAGAGAATAGCGTAACTGACCTGTTATGGTGTAACTGGTTTACGCCTCATTCTCCGATGTCAAGGGGTATCTTAATTAGCGTAAGCACTGAAAGCAATGTACAGCCACAACCTAATATCCTATATTAAAAATAGATAGCCGTTCACGTTGTCAGACGTAATCCTACTAAGGCCAGTTCATACTTACCTACTACTTATGCCTGCTACCCCCAATGGGGCATAGGCTGCCCACCAGTTTTCTCCAACCAACTCCGTCCTGGGCTTCCCTTTCTAGTTCTGTCCAATTTTTTGTTCATTCTTCTCATATATTTCTCTATCTCTCGGCGTAGTGTTCCTTGGCCTTCCTCTTTTCTTTTGACCTTAAGAGTTCCATGTGAGAGTTTGTCTTGTGACACAGTTGGCTTCTTTTCGCAGTGTGTGTCCTACCCATTTCCACTGCTCCTTCTTGATATCCTTCTCCAGTGGAATCTGGTTTGTTCTCTCCCAAAGCAGGTTGTTGCTGATGGTTTCTGGCCTACGGATTTGAAGTATTTCGCGTAGATGACTGTTAATAAACACTTGTATCTTCTGGATGATGGCTTTGATAGTTCTTCAAGTTTCCGCTCCATACAGTAGAACTGTCTTGATATTTGTATTGAAAATCCTGATTTTGGTTGAAAGTTGTTTGGCGTTCCAGATATTTTTCAACTGTAAAAATTCAGCCCTTGCTTTGTAGATCCACGCGTTTACATCTGCATCCGACCCACCTTGATTTCAGATGATGCTGCCCAGATATGTGAAGGCTTTTACCTCGTCCAAGGCATCTTTATCAAGAGTGATTTGGTTGGCGCATGTTGTGTTGTATCGGAGAACCTTGCTTTTCCGTTTATGTATGTTGAGACCTACTACCGCTAAGGTTGATGTTACACTGGTCTTCTCTTGCATTTGTTGTGGCGTGTGAGATAGAAGAGCTAGATCATCCATCTGCATCCTGGCTGTCCATTTGATACCGTGCTTCCCTCCAGATGTCGACGTCTTCATAATCCAGTCGATCACCAGGAGAAAGAGAAAGGGTGAGAGTAAGCAACCTTGCCTGACACCGGTCTTCACCTCGAAAGAGTCTGTTAGCTGTCCTTCGTGTACGTTTTTGCAGTTGAATCCATCATAAGAATTCCATATGATGTTAACTATTTTCTCAGGCACACCGTAGTGTCGAAGAAGCCTCCACTGCGTTTTCCTATCCACGCTATCGAATGCTTAAGGCCAGTTCATGGTTTAAACTAAGAAAATTCAACAATCTGCACGAATATCCTATACTGATGAATATTTTTAGTCAATCTACGTCGACAGTGGTAAAAACTAATCGGTCTACATAAACCTAGCGTGTTAATAACAGTCAAAAAAAATTTTTTTCATACGACTGAAATACTTTTTTTACATGAATTAACTTATGAAATATATTCATTATTTCATTTTAAATATTATTTATTCATAACACAGGTATTATTCAATGGTTTATCTCGATCACATTATGGGAAAGATGTTTCTCTGATAAATTACGTAGTTTCGCTGATTTATGCAGTGTAGCCAATGTTTCTGTGTTTTTATTTGCTCAATCTAATTTTGGCTATTACATTCATGGACATTCACCGACAGGTCATTCTGATGTAGATTTAGGCGGTATTACACAAATGCTGTCAATTGAAAATGAAGGTATAGCACCGAAACGTGGTATTACACCAGACTCAAATGATCACACCTATCGTATGGCTTTACCTTCAGGTTTACGTCAAACATTCAATCGTCTTTATACACCATTATTGAATTTAACAGCGGCGAATCCAGATAAATGGGGTAAGCATAGCTCAACGCAAGCAATCACAAATGAAGTTTACAATAATATCAATCGATTTTTGAAAAGATTCATTTCAAGAGTAAGTGCCCCTAAACTTTATGTTTTAATTGTACATATTTCTTTTCTATTTATCGCAAAAAATTTAGTAAACAAAGACTAAATTTAATAATTATCTGACTTTAAATAAAAAAAATTATATAAATCACCGAAATTCAACTAACAACTTTGTTAGAATATTCATCCAATATCCTAAGAGAATTATTGCTCAATTCCTATCGGTTAATTCCTACTGGTCAATATCATGGTCGTCCTACATATCAATGTCACGTACTCCAATGTTGTTTCCTATTGGTCTTCTTAAGTGTCAATGTCACAGACTTCGATGCTGTTTCCTTCTCGACCTAAATGTATAAATAGGCATTATCTGTAACGTTTTAAGGATCCGGATCCGATATCCGTGTCTTCTTCTGGACTCGGACCTTATACTTTGTGGATGCTTGTCAAATATGGGTTCTACTTCATATCAAGTCTTGTTCTTTTACTCAATGGGGGTTTTGGACGCTCGGATTAGAGTTGCCTGTCATGTGGCCGGATCCTCGCTCTCATTTTCCGACTAAGGTAAACTCGTTATAGTTCAAGCATCTCAAATCGACATGTATACATGCATTCGTTACAAACCTGTATTATGTTTTATAGGTAGGACGATTCGGTTATGTCTGCCATAATTGTTACATACGAATGACTGGAATTTATTCTACTATGAACTTGACTTATTGTGGTGGAGATTTTTTGTAGGTTGATTGAATGTGTCCCGAATCGATAGATAAACACAATGTAATAATACTACCGAGTGAGGGTTACCAACGAGACAAAATCATCATTGACTTACAAATCAAAGGCAAAACCGCTGACCAGATGAAAATTTTTTCATGGAAGAAAACAACACGCTTCTATGAAAAATATAAACACAATTGTAACGACGAAATGCCATAGGTAATCGGATTAAAGCACCTCACAGGTCACTCGCTGTCCGATCAATTCAGATCCAACTGTTAGGTTCAATCTTTGGACATAGTATCACTTATCAATTAGCCCAACATAACTTTCAGAAGCATGAAAAATTAATAAGTTGATAATAGGCTACAACCAATCAGAAAATAACTCAATTCAGGTAGAATTACAAATTAGAAAAATTTTACTCCCAATTATTGCAACAAGAAAGAACTAGTGCTTATTCACAAAACAAGCATAACCAAGGTTTATCTCTTGGCATACTGTCACATTTGGTTCCTTTTTTGAGTTAAAGCATCTTTTTGGAAGCTCAATTAAGAAGTTATACTATACTTTATTGCTAACCTAGATCTACGCTAAGACAGAGACTGCCTTAATTCTGTCAATTTTTAAAAAACAGTTTGTACTGCCTAAGAGTAATTATTGGTTAGTATTGTGGTGCGAGCTACTTATAAGTAGTATATGACGTGAGTGTCAACGTAATGTCTGGCAGCAGAAGATGGGGGAAGATCAAGAAAGGAAGAGTTAGAACACAATGGAATTTGTATGAAACGCATGAATAGTGACAATGGATTGATGTTTTGCAACAGGAACAGTCCAGTTCGATATGATGAACTTATATTTTGCAAATTAACGATTTACGATATGGTTTTCCAATTTTACTGAGTAACTGTAATTTTCGTTAAATACAATTCGGTTGCCCCACCTGAGTTCTCGTTCACTACAGTATGCCTGTCTACTTTGTAGAGAGAAAAATATTCTTATGGAGATGTGCATTTTAACCTTAACATACATGTGAATGAAGAAATATTTCATGTGACGAAGTCACATACCAATAAATGTCAATTCAGTGATCCAGATAGATGTTAAGCATTCTCTTAAAATTACATTCATAATCTAAACAACTCAATAATATAATCTTTAAAAATTCATTGCAATCTTCTTTTTTTGCATCAATAAGGATGATCCTGATGGTTTACGCTATAGAATTGTACGTCGTAAAGCATTTGAAGATATTCTTGATGGTGAATTTGATGATACAACATTTGAAGGATTATTTTATATTGGTAAGAATTATTTATGCTTAAAATTCATACAATTAATTAGTTATATCTTAGTGAACTGAAACACTCAGTGTTTAAATTCTTTTTTCAATCAAGAACTGGACATCAACAATGACAACATATATATAGATTAGGAAACAGTAAAACAAAGCAATTTATGCAATAAAACAATTCACCCTGCATGACTTGCTGTGATTGATGATTTGATGGGATCTTGAACCTCGTCTGACAGAGTTCTAATGACAGAAGAGCAGTCATATAATCCTACTCTCTCTCTCTCGCTCTCTAGACTAGTTATATGTTACTTCAGTTATATTACCAGTAATACAGGGAACCTTCTATGTATAAGTCTAAACACGGAACAATAAACAACAACCAAGATTTTGATGCTTACTGGTGGTCATTGAACAGCTTTCGACATAGTGGTCAATCAGAAGACGACGGTAAAAGACAGATCGTCTCTTTTTTCTGCTCAATTTAATAGAGATTAGAAAAACTCAAAGACTATATCAACAACACAACTGGAGAATTACAATGTGTACATAACTTAATTGTAAGTGATACAAAACCCAGGGAAATAATTATTTCGTTAAATAAAATCTGGAATAGGAAAATATATAGACAGACAGACAGACAGATACAACTCAGAACTTCGTACGTAAGTACATCAGTTCAGGTTGCCATACCACAACATTAGCACAGAGACATAGCTGTCATTTCAAATCCAAGAGTGATAGTGATAGTAGAATTATTAGCATTAATGGAGAAGATTAGAGAGCGAAGATATGATTCAAGAAGTATAGTTCAGTGAGATAAATTTAGAAGGAGAAAGGTAGAGATTACGAGGGATGCAGAAGGTTAGAATTTCACAGAATACAAAGAGTGGATACACCTGCGCCATTGCAAACGATTCTGAGCCATGTCGTTCAAGGTCTCTAACCATTTCTTTTCCTACAAAACCAAAGTATTGTGGAAATAATAGGAATATCTATATATGACAATGAGATCTTAAAAACAAGAGAATATGAAAACATAGAATTCAGGGTTAGGCTGGAAGAAAGCTAAGCGTTTCCAAACTAAAACATGGCACAAATCCATGGAGTGTCACTGAAAAGTTGATTGAGTCATGTTGGTAAGTGTAAACTATTTGGTTAGGATCCGCGAGACAATAGTAACCTATGGTTAGAGACCTTGAACGACATGGCGCCGATGCATCCACCCCCTTGTCTTATCTCAAATCCTAATCTTCTGTATTTCTCATCACCTTTACCTTTTTCTTCTCAAATTTATTTCATTGAATAATACGTCTTGAATAATTTCTTCTAACCCTAACTTGTCAGATTACTGCTCATAATTCTACTATCTCTACTACTTTGGAATTTGAACTGACAATTGTGTCCCTGTGCTAAGGTGGTATGGCAACATGATCTCATGTACGTAGGAACTTCTACAGTGTAACTAACTGACTGACTAGTAAACAGTTCAAGTGTCGATTACTTGAGTCAATTGCCAGGTTCTTATTGGTTCAGAATTAAGTAGATTCACTTTCTTCCTGGTTCTTGAGTATAGAAGTCAAAAGCCAACCTCCATTACATTGTATTTCAAGCAAACATAGAATGTGTACAAGCATACCAACCAGACTGTATCACACCATAAAATATAAAATAACAATTTTATATATGACCAAACCAAAAAGTGGCTTCAAGTAACAGAGGCTGTGAATAACTGGAAAGAGACTTAAGAATAGTAAACTGTACAATAGTATTTAATAGGTTAATCAAAATGATTTTGATAAATGGAACATACCTACATTGTAATCTAGTTTATTAGTAAGAATATGTAGATCATCACTCATAAATTAGTCCTATGAGTTACCATTTCTCCGATCTTCATCGTAATACGATCTAAGATATACATTTCATCTTACCTGACTCTGAACATGATGAAGAGCGTAGTCAGCTTAGACGCAGACTTATAAAAACCCTACGTAACAACCGCGAACAGTGGTGGGTGTTGAAAGCAAAAGCGATGGAAATGGCAGAGGCGATAGGCAACACTAGACAACTTTTCCGCCTTATCAAAGAAACCGGTATTAGGAACCCGAATGTGAGTGAGAATATCTCGGAAAAGGATGGTCTTATTATCCATTCTCAATCCAGGAGACTGGATCGATGGGACGCCTGAGATTTTTAAGGATGGTGGTCCAGTTTTAGCAGCTCCATGAATTCTCTTACAAGTGGACTGAGTCATGTCAGTAGATGTAGGCTACGTGGTTGAGGTCCGCGAGACGAAAGTCACCAATGGTTAGAGACCTTGAACGACGTGGCTCAGAATCGTTTGCAATGGCGCAAGTGCATCCATTCGTTATGCTCTCTCAAATCCTAATCTTCTGAATTCGTCAACACCTCTTACCTTTGTCTTTCTAAACTTATATCACTGAATTATACTTCGTGAATAAAATATCTTCAAACCCAAGTCTTCTTCATTACCATTAATACCTTTACTATCTCTATCACTATGGGATATGATATGACATTTGCGTCTCTGTGCTAATGTGGTATGGCAACCTGAACTTATGTACATACGTACGAAGTTCTACGTTGCAACTGACTGACTGACTCATCTTACTGGGGACTCACTCACTCTCATCAGTTGGTTGCACCTACAACTCGGTGTTAGTGATTGTTCCCGTTAGAACTTCAGACTATTTATTACCTCATGTTTCTCATACCAAATTGCCAAACACTAAGCCACATTGATCACAGATAGTCACTAGTTTTTTCGCGCGAGATGTAAAATTATTCATGTGTAAAAGATGTTGAATAATTGTAGCTCTTAACATCCCCCAAGTAAAATATTATTTATGATATAAATCATGATTTTCTTACATTTTTATCAGATGACGGTAATTCATTCGGTGACACATTGTATTATGGCAATGAATGGTTATTATTCACATTCGACGCAGTTCTATTCTGTTTAGTGGATTTATTAAGTCAAAATTTAATATTATCAGCATTTTTTGTTATATTAATAGGAGGTGTAAGTTGTTAATTTTTATGTATTAATGTAAAATAGAAGTTTATTTATTTAAATTAACCGCTCTATCGAACATTATTCAATAGTTTCTATCATTGATAGAGTTTAAATAGTCATTGCGATAGTTATGAATTAAATAAAAATACTGTGCAACTATTTCTCAGCAATATTCATCTACCATGCTATCAGAGTCTGAATTGGTGAGTGATGATTTCACTGGTGAGAAGGGGATGATGGTAGCATTTCTAGTGAAACTGTGTGTTTACAACGCAAGATTTGGTTAGAAAAGATTAGCCTTGAAAAAAAAACCAGACCCGACTTTTTACCCCGCGGATTTTTTTGATGTTACAGATAAACCTTAGCTATTGGGTCAACGACGCAAGTTCATCTTTTAGACTACTGAATTGCCATTACAGTAGTGTACATATATGACTGTATTACGGGGTTGTGAAGATTGTTAAGTTACACATTTGAAATCATCAAATGATCAATGTTAGACTGCCATTAGAAACCTGGAAGCACTGGATGGCCGTCAAGTCCTGGTATGGGACTCATCAGCAGTGCGTATCCACGAATCTTACGCCCCGCAGGACTCGAACCCAGGACCTTCGGTCATGTGCGCATTAACACCTTTAGGTACCGGCTCAAAGGTTCCAGAGTTTAAGCGTTCGAGCGCAAGACCGAAGGCCCTGAATTCGAATCCTGCGAGGTGCAAGAGTTGTGGATGCGCAATGCTAATGAGTCCCATACCAGGACGAAACAGCCATCCAGTGCTTCCAGGTTTCTAATGGTGGTCTAACATTGATTGATTCATGATTTCAAATATGACTTTAGACAATTCGCCATATATTCTAATCCCATAGGTCGGTAACGGCGCCCTTGAACCTTACAAAAGCGTTTGCTTCTTCTAGAAAATGTCTTTTTTAGGTAATTACATTGAAGTTATAACGAGACAGCAATTAGGTAGCGGAGATATTTTGGGACTTTTCTATGAACAACCTTCAACTTATTAGCTCAGCACCTTGGAAGGTTTATCTGTTTAGCATTAATTATCCAACCAAGTCTTGCGTTGTAAACACAGTTTTACTAGAAATGCCATCATCATTCCCTTCTCACTAATACAATGATCATCATAAATTCGTCCTCGAACACGACGAATTCCACTTTATTTTACTGCTCTCCAAGCGATCGAAATGATGTAATGGAATCCTAAGGAATACGGAATTTGGACAAGGTAGTTTTAAAAATTTATTATGTTAAGCGAACTGGGTCAATGTCCATGGTAGCAATCTTTAAAAGCAAAACCATGTCCACATTACGTACTCGGATAATTCCTAGAAGAATCGTATGACCGATTCATTCTTTCATTTATTTTGTTCCCAAATCTCAATTGCCAAGTTCTCTAACTACTACTATTTATTACTTATAGTAGTAGTATCTTCCCACAGGGACTGTAGAACTCCAAAGTCATCAGTAAGCTAATTCACATTCCTTTACTATTGTGGTCTAAATAATCCTGGTTACGAAACCCACCACATTTGTTACTCATGATTTTCTTTCCAGATCAATCGTCGAATAGATTGTAGGCGTTTAGAAAAGTCAGTGTTGCAAATGCTTAGCATATTCAAGACTGGATTTCATTTAGAAAATAAAAGCTGATACTCCGTTGTTAACTGTTTGGCACTTTGTCGTATTTCAATCTATAACACAATTTTTTTACACATTTGTAATCAATCAATCATTGTTAGACCACTATTAGAAACCTGGAAGCACTGGAAGGCCGTTTCGTCCTGGTATGGGACATACCAGTGGCAGTGTACATCCACGACTCCCAAACCTCGCGGGGTTCGAACCCGGGACCTTCGGCATTGTGCGCGAACGCCTAACCGTCGGACCACTGAGCCGGCATCCAACGGTGTTCATGTCTAACTCAGATTGATCCAGGGATTTTGCGCGACCTCACCAATTCGTCTTTGGTAGTTACTGCCTACACCTGACAGGGGTGAACTCCATTGGTCACGTCTTCTCACAAGAACTCCGATAATTTCCTCACGAAGCTAGTCACTAGTGAGCACTGTTATGATATTTTCAGTTAGCGCTTTGGAGATTTGTTTTTTTTTACACATTTGAAATCATCAATCAGTCATTGTTAGCCCAGTGGTCCGATGGTTAGGCGTTCGCGCACAATGCCGAAGGTCCTGGATTCGAATTCTGCGAGGTGCAAAAGTCGTGGATGCATACATAACGAGACGAAACGGCCGTCCAGTGTTTCCAGGTTTCTAATGGTGGTCTAACAATGATTGATTGATGGTTTCAAATCTCCAAAACTCTAACTGAAAATATAACACAATTATTTCTTTTCTCTTCTATTTTTATTTCAGTTATTCAGTTTAATACGTGATGATCTTGGACGTCGTAATACAGCTAGAAAAACACTTGTCGATGAACGTTTTTTAATTTAGAAATAAATATATTCTTCCAATTTGAAAGTGAACTGTATGTGCAAAATGGAATGATGAATGGTCCGTTTTTTGTTTTCTATATTTTTACATGATAAAAAATTAATCAATGGTTAGTATTGTAATGAATGATATATTGAATAAATATAATACCGTTTTAATTATGATTCTTGTTGTTGTTGTCGCCACTTGGTAAGACATGCGTGTATATCTTCCCCGGGTTTTACGTTATTCTAAACCTAGTAATGTATTCTACTTAGAACATTTGAGTCAGTATACCATGGGCAGTGATAAACAGGCCCACATTGTCAATTGATACACTTGAACTCTGACGAGTTTACCTTAGTCAGTAAATGAGAGCGAGGATCGATGATCTGGTAATACGACAGGCTACTCTAATCCAAGCGTCCCGAACTCCCATTGAGTAAAAGAATAAGACGTCATATGAAGTAGGACATGTATTCTACAAGCATTTACAAAGTACACGGTCCGAGTCCAGAAGAGGCTAAGGATCCGCGTCATGAAACGTTACAGATAATGTATATTTATACAGTTAGGTCGAATAAGAAACAACATTGAAGAATGTGACGTTGATAGTTAGGAGGAGCAATAGGAATTGACCAATAGAACTAGACTTACAAATAATTC